TATCTTATTTGTGTATCACTTGGCTGTAGATCCTCAATCATCGCTGAATTGGTGCTGACACTGTCCTTCCTCCTGGAGGGTGGCTACTTTTGTTCCCCATGGTCCCTGTGTGTGTTGCAAAGAGGCCACTCGCTCCCATGATAGACTATAAGTTAAATACAAGCTAGTAAACTAAATGTGAGATTTTAGTCCATCAGAGGAGTGAGCTTGGAGCGGTGACTACTTTACAACACACACAGGGAACATGGGGAACAAAAGTAGCCCCCCTCCAGAAGGAAGGACAGTGTCAGTACCAATTCAGAGATGAATTGAGGATCCACAGCCGAGTGATACACAAATAAGATACATCTTTCTTCATAGTTAAGTTACTTGAATGCATTTTTAAGATTTAACTGCTTAGTTTAGTCTCACTTTAAGAGCACAGTGGCTTAATATATAAAACTCCTACCTTGCAGTGATGGGGTCCTTGGTTTGACTCCCATCCAGGACACTATCTGCCTGGGGTTTGCAAGTGCTTGCATGAGTTTCCTCCCACGCTCCATAGACATGCTGGTAGGTTAATTGGCCCTAGTGTGTAAGGTAGGGGGACCTTGGGCTGTAAGCTCCTGGAGGACAGGGACTGATATGAATGTACAATTGTCAGTGCTATAAAAATATCTGTATTAATACCGCCTTGCCAACAACCTTTTATGGAAACCGCTTATATAAATCCTTCAAAATAAATATGGACTACCAGAATCTCTTGTTCTGTTCCCTTTGACAATATTGTGTTTGTCCTGAATGTCTGAGACTACCTTGTTTTCTTTATCTGTTCATAAACTGCTGCAAATAAAATAGAGACAGATTAGACATCAAGCTCTTATGTAATGTCCATAGTCCGGGAACAGGAACATATAATGGAAGAGCAAAGATAAATATAATAAAGCGCAGTTCCAATGCAAATTTCACTTGTCTATAAAATGGTTCTTTTGAGTCGAAAATAGATTTCTCTAACACAATTTCTTTGCATATGGACAAAAGATAGATAAATGCAAAGTAACGCACATGCATCCATAAACAGAAGTTTCAAAATTGAAAATAAGAAGTGTTACTTGTAAAGTAGGCAACGAAAACACACCTTCAATGTGCAAATGAAAGAAAAGTCCCGCAGCAATAACTGAGGCCTCGTTCGCACCAGCCCCATTGGGCAGCATTGTAATCCCAATGTAATCCCAATGCACAGACAAGGTAATTTGCCTTATGTCCTGTTGCTTTAGATCACACCAACGCACTGCTTTGCTGTGCACTGAATAACAAATAGAACATGTTGCATTTTTCCGCAGTGCTTTCCAACACACTATAATGCAATTCACTGCGATGGCGTACATAGAGTTAAATAGAGTATAAAGTTGAATAAATGTAAAAACAAAAAAATCACAGAGATACATTGTAGGAACTCATCAGCCCGGGCACTATGCGCACCTTAATGCACATGCATTGGTGTGAATGAACCCTTAAAGTGACATTAAAGGAAAAAACATTTCCCTTCCCCCAATGTTAATGTCAACACTTACCTTAAATGATGTCTCTTAATCCGAACTTCTTCTTTCCTGTCCTTTTCGGCCTTCTCTCCAGCGCTGCTGCGGGTCTCCGATCCAGCGCTGACTCCTCTGTCCTTGCTGGCACTTCCTGTCCCACGGTGTCTGCATGCGTGTGTACACGTCCATAGACTTACCTTGTGTTCCGTCTGCCGGCCGAAAATCTGAACTGCGCATACGCCCGCCCCAAGATCCTTTGCGGCCGCCAGAGATTTTTCAGATTTTCAGGCGGGAGCGCTCGGGGAAGACACAGGTAAGTTTAAACCCTTTTTAAGTTTTTGCATATATCTACTGCTTGCTAGCACTAGATATATGCAAAAAAAACCGGAGGGTTTAATAACCCTTTAAACATAAGTGACACCAGAACGTATTGTACATGATCATTTCTGTTGCCACATACAGAAAGCACTTTTCCCATTTCGGCGACTCCCCCTCTGGTACACTGAACACAGGGAGTCGCTCGTTTGGCACCTCCACCACTTCATTCTTGCCGGTCATATCACCATGCGTGACTGGAGTGCTGGTGACCATTTCTTTTTCTGTTTTTCCTCTATTCAGAAAACGCATTGTAATCTTTTCAATAGATACAAGGCATTCTCTGATTGGACGAGATGGAAAGAAGGGGCTGATGATGTCACGATCTACCCTCGTCCAATCAGAGAACGGCTTGTATTGAATGGTGGTTGAAGTACATAGACTGTTGAGATTACTTTATCAAGGAACAGAAGATACAGTAGTTTAAACTTAGAGGACCCCAGTACCGTTCTTGAAGAACGACTCCGTAGAAATCAAAAACTTATCCTTACAGTACTGCTATCCCCACACCGCAAGGGTTAAGTGCCCATTTACTTGTTTTGTCTGGGGGGGCGGGGCAGATAAAGCCCATTTACTTGCCTGATCCTCAATCCAGCCAGCCTCCCCTAGGCTGCTAGACTGCTCCTTGCAGCTTCTTCTTCCTTGGGCTCCACCAGTTTAAGGCCCATTGACATCATCAAGTCTTATTTAGGTCCGGTATAACAGTAGGTAGGGAGGTGCGAGGTAAGTGGGTGGCACCACACCCCTATAACTGATAAAGACAAGCAAGGATTGGCTGCAATAGAGCCTGGGTTTTTTTCAAGGTGCCACAAAATACATACAGCTACAGGTGTGAAGTATAAATATAAAACCTTCTTTATTTCTTATAACAAGCTAAAAACATATTAGGACACATATAAGGGCCATATCAAATATACATATACCATATACATATCTAATACCCCCATTCAAAAAATAGGGAAATAGGGTAGGTGGCAGGTTATTCTGAGGTTCAACGCGTTTTGCACCACGTGGCTTCTTCAGGAACCTCACGTACGTATCTATCTTATTTAGGTCCATTGACCTGAATTAGAAGCGAGGACACCGGGGGACATACCACAGCCGGAGTGGAGGCGAGTGGATGCCGCCACAGGACCGAGGATCAGGTGAGTGTATCTCCTTTATTCCCGCCCCTGGGGAAAAATGATCAGTGGGGGTAGCCCCACTGCAATGGTTAATTTTTGAACTGCTCAGAGTTCTTCTTTAAATATACAAATGTGTTTAAAAAATGATATTATCGCAGTGACCTCACTGATTCCTAGCAAATTCGGAGCCCTCCTCTGTGGATATTGTCTCACTCACATCA